ATGGTCAGTCGTTCGGTGTGAGGCCAATAGGTCGAAGGCGACTTGCCCTTCGATGGTCTCCACATTGATCGAGTCCAGCAGTATACCAGCAACCTCGCTGTTCTTCTTCTGCAAACTCTCGATCTTCTCTACTTCTTCATCCGTCAACTTGCTTGTACCTGTAGGGTTTTCCCAGTTGTCTGGCTTGATCTCCGTAGAGTCCTTCATCAGTTCCACATACCCATACTTCGATAAATGGGCCATCATCTTGACCTTGTAGAACCTGAACTTCTCATCTTTCCCATCAAAGATGGGATATTTGCTCGACAACGTTACTTCCAACTCCGTAGACATCTTGACTTATTTCTTCTTCTGTTTGACAACCTGAATTCAAGCTCACTCTTTCCTGATAGCTATCGTTTTAAAACGTGTTGAAAAGGTGTGAACTTGAACGCACAATTTCTCTAATTTAATCAGTATCTTTCCAGCTCTACTGCCTAGTAGACTGGCTATTCGTTTCGTTTTCTCTTTCTCTCTCGTTCAGATTGTGAGCTCTTAGACTGAGCTCCGATATGCATACATATACCAGGATCTTTTGATCCTGTGCTTCTCGCAATTTCATCTACAGATAGATCTCGTCGATCTATCTTCCTGAAGTGCATGGTTGGCCCTGGAGGGGCTTTCCCACTTTACTAAACCTGTGGACCTTCATCCGTCCATTCATTTGCTCCGTCCCATCGCTCCTTGCATTCATCCCTTCGACCTAACTTCCTAACCTTTGTAGTTGCATCATCTAGACGACCATTGTCCTCGTTCCTCGTACACCTGGCCATCTGATGATGATCGGATAACCATCTGATTTGAGTCACACATCCCCAATCACGAACCGTGACTGTGGATCCCGAGTCGTCTGTCCGTCATACGAAAATACCTTTCTAACAGCTGCGAGGCTGTCGGAAATTAATTAAGGATGAGGTTAAGTCGGACCGATACTGGTTGTTAAGGCTTTATGATGTCATAGATTTTTTCGACTTAACTTCGGTCCTCCTAGAGGGTTTCACTAAGAAAAAAGTACCAGTACCGATACTACTCCAGTACTCCAGTAGTACCTTTTGGGCAATTTGTGCTGATCATGAGAAAAACCTACTTATTTCAGTCACTTTCGATGACCTTTTGGGCGAATCAAGGTTCCGGTGCACCAGCAGCAACAGTGCCAAGGTACTGATGAGTATTGGTACTTAGCTAGCCAGCTAGAAGAGACTCTCCAGAAAATGCCAAGTTTGGCGCGCAGCGCCAAGTTTTGCACGAGCTCCAGGAAGAGGAGGAGGGGAGAGAGGAGGAGGAGAGAGGAGGAAGACAGGCATCCCATTGAACCTTTAGAATGCTAAGGTACTAAGGTACATGCCTTTATTGCCATAAAATACCATCTCAACCAAACCTCTTCTTTGAATGAACTCTTGGGCGTTTGTTGTTCCATGTTGCTGTTGGTTGTACCTGTTGGCTATGAGCATGGTAGGGTTTGGTGGAGCTCACGCTGGATCTGCCAAATGTGCAAAACTCAAGCACACTTTTTACAGTAGTGGTCTACAGGAGAGCTTGGTTTTTCTGACGAGCTTTGAAAATGCATAGCCATAAGTCTCCCAGCAACTTTGGCACCACCCAAAGCAAAGATCCAAGACAGCATCAAGCCTTCATGCATGGGAAGCCAATATGATAGTCCGGTGCTGAACTGAACGTATTTTGATTGATCATTGCACCTTTGATCACCACAATGATGGTAGAGTGACTCGGTCGAGTTGATCGCGACAGCCTCACTATTATTTATCGGAACGAGATCGACCGAGATTGCTAGTACTAAGCAGCACTGACTTCGCTCCCAGTGAATACCTAATGGAAAAGGAGAGAAATCCAAGCTTGGCCGACAAGAGGAGTGGTGTTGGATCGATGGATCGAGCGACTGGTACGGTACGAGGTAAGCCTACCGGTATTTTCAAGAGTTGCTATTGAAGGTGTCGATTCGAAAGCCACCCCTCATTTATTTCTATGAACTGCGGGAAGGCAGTCATAGCTCGGCCGTCAACAGGTTGGTTTTATACGAATGATTGAATCAGTCAATCGTCTCACCTCTACTATACCGACCGGTACAGTACCGATACCAGTATATCAAGCCTCAGTCAAGCCGGCGGTTATTCGAATGATCGTCGTACCTATTACTGGTATCAAGCCTCACTCAATCAGACCGGCTCTGGCGCAGAACAGAGAGCTATCCCTCGTTGACTTCCCATGACAGTCAAGTTGGAGAACAAATGTAAGTCGCCGGTTGTCTGCGGTATCAGAACAGAAGAGAAAACCATATCATATTTCTTTTTTTTTACTCTCTTCTGCTGATTACCAAGGAAATACCAATTGTCGAGTCCTTTTCCGAGTCGATCACTCCGGATAAGGAGGAGAGGCTGCTGCTGTCGAGCGATCGGAAAACAAGAGGATGCTCTGTTGACTCCGGCCATACGACATATCTACAGCCTGAGCAGATCAATCGTCGTCGATCCGCTGAATGGCAACACTTGTCAATAGGAGGAGCAGGAGGCTACACGACAACTCGCACGCACACAGAGGCTAGTGGATCCTCCTCGCTGCCTACCACTACCACTACCGTACAGTACAGTACAAGCGCACAAATGAGAGTGGAACCTCCTCATCACTCCTTTGAATTTATCCGAGCATTTTTGTGGTGATTCCTCCATTTTGCTGCCTGTATGCACAAGTCCTCAGGCGGCGATTTGGTGCTATTTGAGGATAGAGATTCAATAGAAGTAATACCTATTCTAGACTGTAACAATTAGATGCCAATGAACACTATGTATCTCCTTATTATTAGCATAAGCAAGGACCTGATTAGCTATTAATAGTTGGCATTGATGAACAACAACAACCGGTAGCTTGTCAGGAGCTCTAGATATTGCCGGTAGACTAGCTACGAGCTGTAGTAGTACGGTAGCGGTGGTACGGGTATCGGTACGCTGTATTCGATTCAATTGAATGATTCGATTCAATCCAATTCGGTTCGACCAGATCAAGTTTTGCAGAACTCGTTCACCGGACCACCCTCCATTCATAGGGTTAATGCAAAACTTGTATGTCCTGAGCCAGAAAACTCAGGGTCATGCATTACTTGTTAGAACCTCAATCTATGAAACTGCAGCTTCTGACCATACATCTACAAGCTCATCTACATCCCTCCTCGTGGTACCTATCTAGCCTGTATCCAGGCGGATCGGGGAAGAAATCGGACCCTGAAACCTGAGATGAAGCTCTCTTTTGCCTGTTGGAACATGGAGTGTCCTCACAGTTGCTGAGCGCTATAGGAGTTAGAGGCTTCTTCAAAAGTTAGCTGGCAACTGAAAACCCAAAACAAAGCAACACCGAGAGCTCACCGAGAGAATACGCGATGAACACCTGAACATTAATTTTTACTTTGGGTCAGCTTGTGCAGCTTGTGTTGCTTGAAGGAGAAATAATGAGCCGAGGAGCCGAGAAAGCAAAGGATCTCTTGTCCTTGTGCTATCCGACAGCCTACCGGTACATAGCCGCTTTCATCTGCATGCCAAGAGTACAATCAGAATCAAGGAACTAAAGGACATGAGCAAAAGTGCCAGTGGTACAACAGAAGGGTAGGGGCTCTGATGGAAGAGTAGGCCCAACGGGCCGATGTTTCAGTAGTGGGCTTTCCAGAAAGATCCAAGATGCTTGAACATCAAGAATAGGAGGGGACCAAGGAAGGAGATCGCTGTGGAAGGAGATGAGACGATAATCAAAGGGATGTTGCAGCTGGTCGGCAAGGATTCACGCATCCATGGACTCGATTGATTCGATCCGAAAGGCTTCATTTCATTTATTTTATCTTCTCTGTTGTACATGCAGGAGAAACGGTACAGCCTTCCGTTAGAATATCTGTCTGCACTGTGCTACCGGTACGTCTGGGGAACGTAGTGGGGAGTAACGGTACTCAGTAGGACGTGGTTAGGTGACCCTCTCAAAGGCAAGAAGGAATTATGAATTACACAAAACGTCTGCGTGTGCAGCCCATAAAAAGCCAACCAGAGCTTGAATGCCAGTGAATGCCACAATGCCAACACCCACACCAAAAGCTTTATTGCTTATTGAAGCATTGCTACAATGGACAATAAAGCAGATAAAAGCCCCAAATCTGTTGAAGCACATGAAATGATTTAGGAGTTTCTGTGTGGAAAAGCCTAAATACAAGGCACAAACAGAAAGGTCATTGCAATGCCCCTTCTTCTAGAAACCAGGAAGGCACATGAAGTAAGTACTACTCCTAAGTACTCCGGTAGTATCAGCCAGTAAGTATAAAGGCTCAGAAGTGAAGCGCTTCCTGCTGAAACTTGTGGTTTAAGACTAGGAAAGGAAAAGACCTCAGTGGCCAACAGTGAAATATGAAGGGTCACACATGAAATTTTCCTTTGGTAAGATTGAAAGGTGATGACTCGTCACTCTCAAAATTCTCCTGGCACCTGGACACAACGTACTGGTCAAAACTCGTGACACGAGTTTTTAATAGGATAACATCTTGGGAAGTCCAGCGAACGAGTGTTTCCGTCTTGGGCTGGTACCAGTACTGGGGCACATACGCATTGTTCTTCGGTCTGACTTGAACGGCTGACACACGCAGCAGCCAGTGACAGCAAGTGGAAACTGGTGGACACTGAGAGAAGCCATACAAACCAGTCTATCGCTCATAATTCTGAATTTTCACCGGTCAAGCCACGAAACGAAACAGACAAAGGTGAAGCCGCAACCAAGCAGCACAGCACTCTTCAAACATACATAAAACTCAACACCACTTACTTTTACTAACTTGACTACCTGAGCAAACGCTTACTCTTCCCCAGGAATCAGATTGGTCATAATAGGTTGCAAAGCACAAGACTCCCTTCAACTCTTCAACTGTTCCTCTTCTTCTCATAAAAGCCAAGAAAGCACACAATATAATGATCCAAACAATGATTTCACTTCGCCAATCTCCCGAATACAGCACGCACAGCACCACCAGCCTCATGCAGCCAGCCACAGCAGATCACCCTCTGAGCACTCAAAACCAAGCGCCACTCATGTGCAAGGGCGAGATCGCCTCTCTCAAACACCCACCTCGGCTGTCATTGCCTCTCAAGAAGAGACCTTACTGCGCCAACAAGTCGCTGCCTTTTGCGTCCATGCCAGTAGTCAAGCTCTCTGTATCACGCGGCCCCAAGACACTCACCAAACCTTCACGACCATCCTTGAGCCTTGTCTCATCGTCTTCCACTTCGAAACCCAAGAAATCGGTCCGCTTTTCCAAAGTCCAAAAGACCCGCATCCTCAAGAAACGCAATCTCACGCCACAAGACCGAGAGCGGATGTGGTATCAAATGGCCGACTACGCAGCGATTGACCAAGATAGCATCAAGAATCTCAAAGCTTTGGAGCAAGTCGATGGGGATCTGGCACGTCTCAATCACGACGAATACTGCATTCGAGGGCTGGAAATGAAAACGTCTCCCCACATTAACCGCCTGCGCCGTCTCCGGGCCAAAATTTCCGTTCGTGCTGTGTTGGATACACAAAACCACAACCGAAAAATGCTGCGCAGGCAAAATGCAGACGAAGCGCTGGCAGCCGTGTCCCAACATTACACCACCAAAGCACAATCGCGGGCACGAGAACTGGGTGTGATTGATGCCATGGAGACGGCACTGCGATAGACTATGCAGCACAATAAGCAATCTATCAGACGAGCATTTTAAAAAATACTGTATCACTTGTAAAACTGATCTATTACTAGAATTCCATTGTATGAACTTGACCACTGCATTATTACTAGTACTAGAAAACCACAAAGAGGAACATTTAGCCTATACTGTCGCTACCACCAGGTACCGGTACAGCACATCGCGCTTATTGGCGCGCGTACGGTAGTCATTGCTTGAATCGAATCATTCGAAAGCCATACCGGTAGCATTCATTCGTTCGTACCGTAGTGAGAAGTGGTGCAGGATTGGATTGGTTCAACGGTCCCCTCCTGCGAAAGAGGTTCTGGCTGCTTGACGAATTCAGGCAGGACAGAAAGACAGAGGCTTGCACTGGCAAGCATCATGAGTGCCATACACGCTATGAGTAGTATTCTTTACTTTACCGCTTGGTTCATTCGCAGTTGGCTGGTTCATCGCTTCTTTGTGAGCGAATTCTAAATAGCAGCCAAGAACTGGTGCTAGCCTAGCTACGGTAGTCGCTCAGTACTACAAGTCGAGCCATTACAATCGTATGTGTTCAGCAGTGGCCCTATTGTTGGTTTCCCCCCTACTACATGTAGTTTCTGTTCGTACCCTCAGTCCTGCCACATGATGGCTGGTCCAGTGCAGCTTTTGCGATGTGCTATCCAGTGGTTGCAAGAAAACCAGGGCTATCTAGTGGCTGATGTGGTGGTTGGTGGCTTGGGGTAAAGCCTGTGAAAAGTGAAGCTCCCACCACAGAGCCTCGACTCGACTACCGTACTACTAGCTAGGTAGAAGGCCACGGCCACCATAGATCAGATATCCAAAAGACAACGCTGGTGTGCGCCTGTGACTCCTTTTACATCCCACCTTGAAGGAACGTCAGCACGACGCCAAAATTCGCAGGTCTGAGAGAGAGCGGTGCTTTGGGTGGGACTGCCGTTGAATTCTGGTTCCGATTCTTGAAGTGCCGAAAGCGTGCCAATCGAGGAACGCTTTTTGCTCTTGCTTGGAGTCACTTGAAATTCGAATCCCAGCACACACCAAAAGACAGCATACAATCTGTCATTGATTCTGGGTTCGGTGATCTCCATGTCGAACATTGCTTGCTGGACGGATGGCGGGCTAAACTTAATCACTTGGAGAAACCCACCAGAAAGCAGATCTATAAGATAACAGTTGAAGGCGGTGGAGGGCATCTTGCCCGACATTTGAATGTTAGCGGTACATGTACTACCAAGAGCCGCCAGAAAGATTTGCGAACAAGAAGAGCGCTCCTTGAATACTGCTTATGATTCATTTATGGTCAACCCTATACTCAAAGTAAATGCAACCAATAAGCCAGATAATGGTACTTAATAGATCAATTGGAGCCATGTTGTTTGGTTGCTTAGTGGCTGTCCAATACAATGCTCCCTACCTGGTCGCCGAGTTTTAATGACATCTATCTGTCCTTCGCACCAGCAAGGTACAGCATCCCCGACACTCCCTCTTCAAAGCCCACCCACGCTACCCTGCTGATCATATCAGTGTTTGGATCCAGCAGCTACGCTGTCCTGCTGCTCATTTCAGTGTTTGGTTCCCAGCAGAAACGATTTGGTCTAAATAACCGTTTCCCACACGGATGTTTTCCCAATCATTTTTTTGAGATGTCCTTTGTTTTTCGCAACAGCTGCCTTTTGTTATTACCCTTGGCTTCGCTCATGATCTTGTCCATGAAAGACATGATTCCATGTGTTTGTCGCTTTTGCAATACTGTAGTTTCTTGGCTTGTTGCTGTGGATTCGGTTGGTTCTGATGTTGGCTCAGCAGTGTTTCCGGTAGGCATAGTAGTTGGTAGAATTGTCGGCTCTTCTGCGGTTGGAGCAATAGTTGGAGAAACTGTAGGTTCTGAAGTGGTACCGGTAGGTGGATTTGTTGGCTCCAATGTCACTGGCGCTTCCGTTGTCTCTGCAATTGTTGGCTCAGCAGTATTTCGAGTAGGGATGCTTGTGGGCAGACCTGTTGGCAGACTTGTTGGCTCTAATGTGACAGGTTCATGAGTGGTTGGGGCAATCGTTGGAGGGCTAGTAGGCTCTGCTGTGTTAGCAGTGGGTAGATTTGTTGGTCGATTTGTTGGCTCTAATGTTACTGGCTCCTTCGTTGTTGGAGAAACTGTAGGCTCTTCAGTGTTTCCGGTGGGCGGACTTGTCGGCTTTGAGGTTTGTGTATTAGTTGGAGAAACAGTAGGCTCGGCGGTTATTCTTGTAGGCAAGTTTGTAGGCGGTCTTGTTGGCTCTAATGTGCCTGGCTCTTCAGTGGTTTGAGTGTTTGTTGGGGGGGATGTTGGTTCTGCAGTGTTTCCTGCGGGCATATTGGTTGGTAGACTTGTTGGCTCAAACGTTGTTGGTTCCTTGGTTGTTGGAGCAATTGTTGCAGAAACTGTAGCAATCGGTGCAATGACAGGGATATTCACAGTGCGTGCAGCGATCCCTGATGCTTGAACGGTAGTTGCGGGGCGGGAAACAGATCCGGATGCTTGGACAGACGCAGCTTGAACAAGAACAGGTGCAACACCAATAATGGGCGGCATCAAGAGCAAAAATGCCCGAAGGCGACATTTTGAAGGTCTTGCCATTGTGGCTATTGGTAGTAGGGTAGCTCACGAATGTTGGTCCCCGGTGCTTCAATGTTACCTTTGCAAAATGCTCGCTGTTGTTGGTTCTCCTTCCAGTAACATTGCTTCCTGTTTTGTTTCTTCAGTCAGGCTGAGGGCTGAAGCCAGCTGATAAAGGAAGGAGCCTACGTTTGTCCGAGGACTGCTTCCAATGACCGAAACAAGAAGATACCAAGATACCGTACTCTCAGATGAACGCTCCATTCGTCCCGTTCGATTCGATTCCCCGCGCCTTCCAATCCACAGATAGTTTGTTGTGAGAGATCATTATGTGGCTCTGGATTGAAACTGCGATTGATAGAGAAAAGGGTTGCATAAACTTTTTTGTCGAAAAGATCCAAATTGGATCTTTTCTGCCCGAAGCCAAAGCTTCAGGCGAAGCAAGCAAGCATCGCACCGCTACTCGACGCAAAATACCAGGATGAGATGTCACGACCCCTTCCATTATAATTTGACTCTTTGTGTTGTTTGCTTCCTGTCTGGATGCAATGCTGAAAACGAAACATTTCTGTTGGTTGTTGGACCAGCATCTACTAGTAAGGGAGGGGAATCCTCTAGCTAGCTAGGAGAGCCATAGGTCGGAGCAGATGCAATACAGCATCAATGTACCGTAGTGGCCTGGATGTCTTCCATACCCACAAACCGATACGGTGTAATAATAGTACTCTCTTGGGAGCTCTCTTGGGACATGGTACCAGGTGGTACCAACTTGATTGGCTACCGGTAGCTACTAGTAGTGTACCGATGCACCGTACCGGTAGCTCGCGCTTGGGCAGCCGATAATTAAAAGTCCCGGTATTAATAATAAGTCGGTGCGGTCTTTTCTGAAATGTCAATGGTCACATTTAGTCGCTGATAAGTTCTCGCTTCCGAAATAAATCTTGCTCTACAGACGTATCGGCACTTTGGATATACATGTAGCGGTACCGGTACCGCTACTACGTACCGGTACAGAGGGCGCTCATTGCATTGGCTGTCCATGTCAAGAAGTATAAAAGCAGCCTTCCAAACAGTCCTCTATGGCGGGCTCGTCGCTCCCCACTGTGCAAAAGCAATCTTGTTGATTAACGAGGGTAAATCTTCATCCTGCAGTTTGTTTGTGCCTGGATGTCAGCTCAATTTGCTTCTGGGGTTGAGGAAGAAGCTGCTTCAGCCAAGCCAAGCAAAAACATGAGACCGCGCTGCGTGTGTCAAACAACCAGTTCTCGACATGATGCATCCACTATGCCTCCTGAGATCCCAGCAGCAATCTCAGTTGAGAATCAGCGGTCTTGCTAATTGTCTCACAGTGATTTAAAAAATACGCAAGTGTGCTCAGTAGTCACTTACTCGCAGGCAGCGTCAAGAGAAACTCTGCACGGCACACTGGCTGCCTGATACGGCTTCGTTCGATAACTTTGGAGTTTCTTCTGCGGAGTTCTTTCAAGCAAAGAAGCTACATCAACCAAGAATGCAATCATCTATCTAGTTTGGGCGCTTGTAGCCATTAAAGTGCCCCCGTAACACTCAGTTTTCGATACCCGTGGAGCGTGGCGGTGCCCTTTTACAGCTGCCATGATCAAAGTTGCGGTTTGGGTCAGCAGCTCTTCAACGCACGCACCCCAACCGCAGGCCCAGGAGCTCCCTAAGAGTTTTCATGAAGACTTAGTATTGGCGAATGGAGTTCAATGGAAAAGAAGATGTGCCTCAGAAGCAGCTTCCCCGGACTTCGAGAGATACTATGATCTATGATGTTTGTGTAACTACAAACACTGCAACCAGATACCACACACCGCTACACAATCCACAGCATCCCAATGAGGGGCCTGTGGCCCATTGCGCAGTTTCTATTGGTGACTTTTACCATGACTATATATGCCTCGGACATCTTTAGCATTTAAGGTGCATACCTGAAAGAAGCCTTGAGTTTGGCAATGCCGTCATCAAAGTCTGACTCATGGGCTCCTCAAGATGTCAATGGTTGAACAATGAGTAGAATGACCTCCGAGTTTATTGGGAATGCCCTTCTACTCATGGGATCAGACTGAGGTTTTGACGGAAGATACTCTTTCTGGTGTTCGGAGACATTCTGGTCTCTACAGAATTTTGCGTAGTACACCTATGCATACCTGTACCGGTACCAGATGAGATCTTGTGCTTCAGAGATCTCGTGGTGAGTGGTGAGTGGTGTGGGGGGAGCTCACATTCAACAGCTGAAGGCTCTCATAAAATTTCTCTTGCAAGCGCTCTTCTTGACATCGTTTGATCCATCTGTGAACATGTGCCGAACTACCATGAATTGCTGCACCAAGGCTGCCGACAAGACGGCTGCGAAGGCTCACTGCAATGTCCACGCTAAGAAAGTGGCCAACAAGTCGGTGAGATTTTCTGACTCTGACAACAAAGTCAAATTTCGCCATGTCCTCAAAGAAGAGCTCCAAATGGCATGGTACCGTCCCGAAGAATACAAAGTGTTCCACTACGATCGACTGAGCACAATCCAAACCCTGCGAAGCGCAAAGGGAGACCTGAGTGTTCTGGATCCCAACGAGCAATGTGTGCGGGGCCTGGAAATGAATGCCACTCCCGAAATATTCAAGTACAGGGCATTTGGAATCAAGACCACTATTCGAAGTGTCTTGCAGCACCAACAAGTTCAGCGTCAGATTGGTCTGAAAGATCCAGCCTCCTTGGGAATGGTCTCTGTGGTGTCATCCAAGGCAGCCCGTCATTTGGCTGCTGCTCTTGCTTTGATTGATTCCCAGCAGAGCCTGTAACCAGGCGCATCCTTCCTTCTGCTTCGAGTCCTCCTGCCTCAGGGCCAAACACAATTTTGCTCATATCTTCTTACTTTAACCTGCTAGCACATACGTATTACTCTCAACTTCATCATTCAATCTTTCTAGTAGCTAGCTAGACAACCCTACCGGTATTTGGCCTAATGGCAAGGACGTAGCAGTGTGACAGTTGTGAGACCCACAACGCGGCACTGCCTTTCGTTCTCCCAGGCGACACCGTCTGCACGAAACCTTGTCCTTGCTTGTAGCAATGACCGTGCAACCACTTCCTTGCTGCTGCTAAGTAGCAAACAGTTTGGCAAGAGGATTGCAGGGAACTAGTAGCATGTAACAATCCCCGAACAGCAAGAAATCCAAAAATGGTGCCTGAAGGACAGCTCAAGCAAGCGGTGGACCACAGCGGGTGGGATCTTCGGGACTCTCGGCCAAGCCTGCCGCAGCGACACACCTACGCTACGCGATGGATCAAAAGGAGTTCAGCATGTTTTGGTTGCACCAACTAGCGCAAGATTGTGCTGATGTCGTGGGCCCACTTTGGATGGACTGCTTCGTTTCGGCGAGGACGCCGCCTGTGAGCAGTAAAAGCGCTACAGCTTGGCATTAGTGCATCTACGTCTTTGCTGTCGCCAGCTCCCTTCCTGATGATGGAACGAGCGAACTACGCATACCGGTAGGGCGTAACGCAGTGCGTGAATGTCACACAATTGTAGCAAGCAGAGCAGAGAATGCAGCTCGGGCGACCAAGAAAAACTCAAAGCTGCGTTGCTTATAGTCGCTCCGAGTACCGGTAGGATCAAATTTCTTTTCAGCCCACAGTCTTGAGCTTCTTTGCCCCCCACCCACAATGGAGAGGAGCCTTTCTCTTCCCTTTCTCTTCCCTTTTCTCCCCAAGACCAGCCACGCGAAGGAAAATGTCAGGATAGTTGCGAATCCAACAGTAAGCAACAGTGTATTTGTTGATTTTGGCCAATGAGGACAACCAAAACTCTTCAATACTTGCACCACCAGGACGCTGAATGGAATCCTGCAGAAAGCGGCGGCCTGCCTTGTTCATTGCAATAGAAAGGGCAACCTTCTGCTTGTAATCTTTCTCAGGGTCTCCTGTTGCAATTTCTCCAGCAATCGCTTCAATCCCTTTTTCCTTTCCTGAGACTTGTGCATGTGTCAGGTAATGATTCTGCTCAACTGCCTGTGTGATAATGGGCAAGGCATCATCCTGCAAATTGTGAAATGCCACCATTTCCAGTGCCTTGTTCGTAGCAATAGCATGTGCAAACATAGCAGCAGTCTCCTTGTTGAGCTCAACTTTGTCCTTTAATAGAAATCCTTCCACAGAGGTACTCTGGGCCAGAGCCAGAGCAATGCGGTGTTTGTCCTCCTCAGCTTCAAAAATACATTTGATCAGAGACAAGATGTGCACCAAAGCTTCTGGTTGAAAGATCTGCGCAAGGAGAGAATCCACATTGCGCTTTGGAAAAGGACACTTCATGAAGTTAAAAGATCTGATGCGAGATGATTCTGTCCGGTTCTCCAAAAAACTAAAGACACAAGCGGCCGACACCCTGATCAGATCAACCTTTTTCAGAGATTGACTTGAATGAACACCTTGCCACAACAATTGGAGTTGGTGATTGTGAGGATCAATTAGATAAAGTCTCTTCATGCTACTGTTGGTCCGGAACATGTTGCCCAATGCCTGCACCTCGTGGGATGGCAGCACTCCCTCCACGAGTAGGCAGAGCGCTTCCACAATGCTGTTGACGCCCAGGGCACCCACAAAGAGAGCAAAGTCCTCGTGATGATATTGGTCCGGCTGGAGAACCACAATGATGTCTGTCAATCCTTCATCATTGCGCCGAATCGATCGAATCTGTTCCCACAGTTGGTTAGTAGTGTTTCCAACGACGATTTTTGTTGCCGTTTCGAACCAACTCATGTTCGAGAGTCTCGCCTGAAAGTGTTCCAAGAAGACAAGTATGGTCCGTACTTGTGGCAAGGTGGATTCGATTCAATCAATCAGTACTCTAGCTAGTAGGCACTGGCAACTGTACATCCATCATCAATGGACACTGTCACTCTTTGATGTTTGTCGTACTTGTCTTTGCCTTGACGTGGGAGGGACCGTAAAGAAATCAAAAATGGAATTTTGGCCTTCGTTATGCAAAAAAGAATAAATCCGGCCAAAACAGCCAAAACCAAGATCCAACACTCTATGGCGGTACCAAGTACCAAGGCTCGTCTCAGCATTAAACAGGCATGGCACCAGTACTGCACTGTACGACTGTACGACCGATTTCGCGGCGGCTACGCCGCTGAGCCGCGCTTAACCCTCGAGCGGCTGTAGGGCAAATCTTTCACAAGAAAAGAACAGACGTCTATGTAATGGTAGAGAAATGAAATTTATTACAAAGCTACCGGTACGTATTGTGTCCACGCATGCACTTCATCATCAAGGACCTTGCTTGGCCACTGCAACTGAATCATCAAACAGGCCCCATCCAAAGCGAATCACACATACTGCCAAGTGATCCAGCAATGGCACCGAAGTTCTGGCTCGTGACACTTCATCAAAGTTCATTGTTGCACAAGAATGGCAAAGATCATCCCACACCTGTGTGTAGAAGGGGTCGCCATTGCCGTCCAACAACTCGCAGTAGATATCGCTGCAGGTCTCGTGAGTGAAGCCCCGAATTCCCAAGCTCAATCTACCCGTTGCGTCGTCACCTAGAGTCAACTGCCAAATGCAGTAGTCTTCTTTGGGCCCTTGCAGCTGAGCTGGAATATTCGTTTTGTAAGCCTTGTAGCCCGCCGGGGCTCCAGGGAGAGGATTGTCAATAGTATCCGATGTGACGCCAAACTCATTTTGTGTGTACTTGCAAACACCATCAATGGTTCCCAACGCAAACTTGACATGGTCCAAATTGTATTGGGCACGCAAATGTTGGGACAAGCGCATGGACAAGCATCCACCACGAGAGGCACCCGCAATGACAATGCCTTTGATGTTATCCCAAGACAACACCTTGCTATCCAAATACGCAGCGTACCCATTCAGGGTCGCTTGCTTTGCATTGGCAGAGTCCATATGATTAAACTGGGAATCAAACAAGGTCAAGTAAAGAGTTTCATGGTTGGGAAGGAAACGGGTTTGATCTTGGTAGAATTCGGCCGCCACACTCAACCGATTGACAGTGCTCGATGTTCCACCGTTCCCGGTGGTATCCCATTGCCAACCATCATGGGCCCCACTGACAACACTGCCCAGATCCTTGCTGGATCCTTGGCCACTGGAGAAGATGACCAGGTACTTTGGGTTGGATGGAGCCTCTCCCATGATAGCCATGCAAGCCATGTCTTGGTTCTCCTCGAGCATACCAGCATCCTTCCAAAAGGTACCATAGGGGTACGAATACTCGTTACAGCCCATCCATCCCCTGTCGGCGCAATATCGAAGGGGGTGAAGGGTCACCGGTATATCCTCATCTTCTGCAGAGCAAGCAGCATTCTGCAGAAACAAGAGGACGAAAATGGCGGCAGTGAACGATGACGAGAAGGTCATGATAGAGCATCCATAGAATTATGAGAGAGAGTGGCACGGTACATCATTCCAGGATCCTGGGACGAGTGCTTGCAGTCACACGCACCTTGGCTTGAGCAGTTGCACCCACAAAAAGCTACAAGACTGACCGAACTCTGGTACGGGTACCAGAGGCAAAAAGATACAGATTGTCGGTTGGGAGGATGCAGACCCAAAGATCTTTAGAGGCTGGATTGCATGGATGCTACCTGGTACCAACATCCCTCGAATTGGGAGCACCAATATTTATTTGAGACAACATCCAAAGCACTTGAATTTTTTGTCTGGCTTCTTGACGTTGAAAGCTGGGTTGATGCTGTGATCAGTGTCAAGCAGCCAGCAGCTGGCAGCAGCTACTAGCTAGCACTAGCTAGTAGTAGGATTCCTGTGCATCGTTTTATTCCGGAATTGCACAGTACCGGTAGTAGTGTACCGGTGCCGAATGGGCAACTACAGTACCGTACCTGTACCGGTGGCAAGGGAAAAGGGATGATGCTAAATTATTAAATTTAATTTAAATAAGGATGGGTTGAAGATGAGTTGAAATTCTCATTTCGAGTGGTAGCGGTACACCGGTACCTTAGAGATCGGAGAACTCAACAAACCATATAAATATTTAGTACACTTAATTAATTGACGTGATGTGCGTAGTACGACATTAGGCTGTTTTCATTAAATAAAGAGGCTTATCAAAATGAGCGTGTACTACCGGTATTTTAAAATAGTACACTGTATTGTACAAGGTAGAGTACTCAGTCATCTGTGCATTTATGCAGTTCTCATCTTCCATTCGCGGCAAGTCTGGAACTACTCAGAGCTTGTGGAGTGTTTGTGGAATGGATTGAATCGAATCATTCGACTTGATTCGATTCATCATTCGATTCGATTAGATTCGATTCAGTGACGTCATTTTCATTATTCGCAAATCCGTCACCCTTGCTTCAAGAACGTGGCCACTTTCCGTTGCTTTGGCATCGCATCTTCTATCATCTTCTTCTAGCTAGCTAGTAGCTAGTAGCTACCGGTAGCCACAGGCACTGAATTGAATTGACTGGATGATGAATAATGTGGATGAGTTATCGTCGCATCATCAGCAAGATGGTCATCAGAAGCAGCCACTGATACTCCGCCGGAAGTTCTCTCGTAAATCCAGTAGCTGCACCATTGAAAACGCCGAAGATGCCCGTCATGCCTTGGCCACTCGGCCCAGTGGCGTTCGAGGAGGAGCTTCCACGAACATGGCTACCACCAACGATCAGGAATTGGTGGAGAAGGCCAACATTCGGGGCATTTTGTTTCCCTGGACACCTGCCTACAAGATTTGGTGGTATGCGACGATCGTCGGCGCCATGTTCACCGTCTTTTTTGCTCCTTACCAAGTCGCTTTTGAAGCGACGCCTGGAACTTTGAACCGATTCAGTGTCACGGGATGGATCGAAGTTGGTCTCAATCTACTCTTTACCATCGATATCGTGGTCAATTGTCACTTGGCCATCTACAAGGACGAAATGATCGTCTACGATCGAAAACAGATTTTTTGGGAATATGTCCATGGTGGAATGTTCTGGGTGGATGTGATTGGAGTCTTTCCCTTTGAGACGGTCGCTCTCTTGCTGTCTGGAGAATTGGGAGAAACCACCACTCTGGCTCTGCTCTTTTCCTTTTTGCGGCTCATTCGGTTTGTCCGCTTGCACCGCATTGCCAAACTATCCGAAATGCTCCAGTACAATGCCCGTGTTTCCCTACTCGCATCGACGCTCTTGAGAAATTTTGCCGTCGTCCTCACATGTGCTCATTTGGAAGCCTGTTGCATGTTCTTTTTGGCACGAATTTACAATTTTGATGAAACCACCTGGCTGGGACCCATTGTCCACGACATGACCGGATTTCAGCGCTACGTCACGTCGTTGTATTGGAGCATTGTCACCTTTTGCACCGTCGGGTACGGAGACTTTTCTCCCTCCAATTCCTCCGAACAAATTGTGGGCAGTATCTTCATGTTGGTCAATATCGTCGTGGCGGCATGGATTATTGGATCCATCACCTTGCTCATTGTCAAGGGAGATGAAAAGACGGGCGAGTATCGAGATAGTTTGGAAACGCTCCATCAATACGGAGCCATGCATCAATTTGACCCGCCCTTTCTCAATAAATTACAGCGACAATTGAGTTTGGAATTCAACAATCGTGAAATTGCCGATGAACAGGTACTCAAAAACTTTCCCAGTGCCTTGCGACGAAAGATATTGCGGAAATTGTATCTGCAACCCTTGATCAAAACGCAATTGATGAAGGGAGTACGACAACAATTTGTGGATGCCTTTTTGACATCGTGCACGGTGGAGATTTTCAGTCCTGGCGAAGACATTGTGGAACGAGGCTCCATTTTGTCCGACTTGTTCTTGTTGGTGGGAGGGATTGCCGAAGTGACGACACCCGATCTCGTTGCGCAGTCCAAAGACGAAGTAGACAATGACAATGCGACTACGCGACACGGTACCGGTAGACTCGTAGAGGGCGATTTTATCGGTGAGATTGGCTTTTTCACCGAGTCGCCTCAAGTGGACTCTGTCACCAGCTTGACCGTTTGCAAGACGTTGACCATGTCTCGATCCGCCTACAAACTACTGGCACAAGATCATCCTGGGTCTGTTGGAAAAATCTTACACAACCTCCTCAAGAAAGTAGAAGGAATGGCTCTACAGCTGGATCTGCCAAAGCGTTTGACAGTGTTGCGAGCTGGTTCTGACTTTGATATAGAAGCCGGCTATGGCACCTTGAAATACAACCACAATACCAGCAACAACAACAGTCTGAGCAGACGAGAAACCGAAGCCATTTTCCGCCGTCACGAATCACTCACTGCCATTGAAGATCTTGTAAAAATGCACATGAGCAAACAACTAGATGATCAGACAACAAAGCTCCTCTTTGCCGCTTCCCGTGGAGACACGAGCACCATTTCTCTGTTCATGGTTCATGGTTTTGATCCCAACAACACGGACTACGATCACAGATCTGCCTTGATGGTTGCGTCCATGAAGGGCAACACGGATGTCGCCAAGCTTCTATTGGAGTACAAGGTAAAACCCACGATGTGCATATTGATTCAGCACTGCTAGCCATTGCGATGACTGAAACGACTATGCTATTTTATCTTTTTCCAGGCTAATCCTAACCTGAAGGACATGCATGGTTCCAGTGCGTTGCTGGAGGCCGTAAAGAATGGTCACGAAACAACCATGGCTCTGCTCTCCACATATGGGGCAGACCTGTGCATGCCAGAGAGTCGTGCAGCTTCGGTACTTTGCCAAGCTGTTTTTGATGGCGACATTCTCTTGTTGAGGCGACTGCTCAAGGCTGGTATTGACAGCAATGCGGCCGACTATGATATGCGTACTGCAGCACACATTGCAGCAGCCGAGGGCAATGTGGCAGCCATCCGCGTGCTTGCAGAGCATGGGGCCGACCTCACATTGAAAGATCGATGGAATAATACCGTCCAGGATGAAGCCAGGCGTTCGAATGCTCGCCAACTTTTGGAGTTTCTCGAAGAGCGCAGGAATCCAAATTGATTGCAGTGGTTGCTTATCTCATTTTGCGTTGGCCCCCTTCCCGACCCTCTTCCCCGAACCCTTCCATATCCACACTCACAGAAGCAATCCACATTTTGTACTATCCCGCGGGCCTCTTTCGTTGCGAGACTGCTGTTTGCTTCCGCCACTTCCAGAGAGCCTGTAGGGACTCGATTTTGAATCCTTTTTGTTTGTAGTTTTGACATATGGCACTGCCATATCCATTTTGTATGTAATAACAGATTTTGTTTGGAATCTTCATGATGTTGTGAGATCTTCTTTCGCCATTTTTGTGGTTAATTCAAGTCCGCTCGTAACAGTGCTTTGGTCGGCCAGATCACTGGTAATTGAGGCAACCTTTTGATAGGCATGGGAAGCACCGTTGGACGACGCGCTGCTCATGGCATGCAGAAGGAATCCAACACCACTCACAAGAGATCCCACCATCATTCCCATGTCAAAGCCCTCGTGAAAGAGAATACCCACAATGTAGATACCGAACCATCGACGGGCTGCCTGTACGATGGAGAAGGTGACGGCAGAATCGTGAACACAAATGAAATGTTTACAAAGGCGCTCCAAGAACCTGGAGGCCCCCAACAAGGCCAAACAAATGGCAATGGCATAGGATATTGTTGAATGGTCCACTGGCCCGTTCATAACTTCGGCGGTTGCCTGGTTGACTCTGGTGGGATCGATGCTTGGGCATATGGAAGAGTTGGATCCTCCCGAGGAAGGTTGTGACAATGCAAGATCAGTACTGCTGTTTCTTGTTTGTTCTATCAGTGCAGGGATGGCAAGCAATGAGAAGGAGAAAAAGCTTGTCCACATGGAGTAAGAATTGGAGAGCAACAGCTTGGATGGAGACGACGCAGATTGAGTGGATTGTTGCAGTTGCCTGTCTTGTTCTTCTTGGAGAGTCTCCTTGAGCAAAGCTTCTGTGACAACCGAACAGAGAGCATTGAGGAAGGCGCCCAGCAAGCAAAGCAAGGCGGCGACCGGAATGGCAGCGACCTGAAAAGAATCATTTTCCAGATGATCGTCACGTCGTCGGTAGATAATATCAAAGCCAAAGACAAGGGCAATCCCAAGCATGATCAAGCCGGCTGCCACTATCCGTACAAAGCTGTACCACTTGTGCAAGATGACATAGCTGAGGGCCATTGACCAGCCAACGTCAGATCCCTTTAGAAGCATGTACAGCGAACCAGGCAACATGGTCATGGAGAACGAGTTGAGAAGTTCCACAATGGAAAGTCCAACCGCCACCAAAAAATACAGAGACAGTTGTCGTCTGGAATAGACCAACCTCACAGTCTCTCGCCATTGAAGGAACACGTGTAGCATCAAGGAGAGAACCCAAGTAGATCGCGACAAAAGAGCAAATGTACGCCAGGAAGTGAAGCAGTAGTGATAATTCAGAAACTTGACAATGGACACTCCTGATAAACTGCTGACAAAGTAGACCACGATGCCAGTCAGCGATTGCACGTCGATCGGCATCGTCTTGGAGGAGGAATCTTTCCCCCCACCCTCCTCCAAAGATTCGCTAACCTGAGGCTAATAAGGAAGGCTCTCCGGCGGGGGTTGTTACGGCGGGTTGACTATGAATAGTACTAGAGGTAGGCCTCCACACTTCATCGGATGAACCTCCAACCTCCAATATATGATGCATGACGGCATGACGGCGGTGGGGTATCAAGATCCAAGATCTGAAAGGACGAGAAAAGGCGCAAAATGTAAAAATTTCAATTTGATCCAATTTTACGATCAAATCACCCTTTTGGGGGGTTTGGGCAGAGGGAACTTGGAGCTTGAAGGCACCATGGAGCACTCTTCCAAGTCAACGTGGTGTGGAGTCCTCTCTTGTCGAGTGAATCAAAGTTTCTTGGGCGTCATTTTCGCATTGTGAAAGCTGGCCAGCTGCAGCTAGCTATCGGTAGTGCTTCGCAGTTGGTTTTACTTGCCAGGAAGCTTCGTGTCAAACATTCTCGTCACACAAGTAGTTGCTACAACCGTATCGGTACCGGTACTGTACACCTCTGTTGATCAACTACTACTGGCTCCAGGGTTGGTACCGGTACCACGGAAGTCTTACTAAGATTACAACTATAGCAAGAAGGCTGGACAGGAGCTATCTCATCCCTTGGATACAAATATGACATACAAGCCATATGGTGCAAACAGCAGCGTGAATTGAAGTCAGAATATCCATCAAAAGGGAAGTGGCCGTGCACAGTCACGCATCCTCTTTCAGGAAGATCTCGCTTGGAATCACCTCTGGTAGCTCTTTCGACTTGACCTTCTCGTCACCTCCCTTTGCTGCATCGTTGTTGCTCTCTTCGTCGTTTTCGGAACCTGCTGCGTCGTGCACGATGGGACTTTCGATGGTTGTGGATTGTTGTTCTTCGGCCTCTCCAGACTGTTTCTTCTTTTTCCGCCCCTTTGTGGTTGCTTTCTTCTCTTTTGCATTTTCTTTTGCTGCGGCCTTTTTCTTGGGCTTCTCCTGGTCTGTCTTCTTCGCTTTCTTGGCCCCTGCCGTTGCAGCTATGAGCATTTCAATCTCTTTCGGATCACTCTGTTCGGGGCGGTCTTCCGGATTCAAGAAAACCATTTCGGTGAGGCGCCACTTCTTCTTGTCAGCGGGGTCGATTTCCATGAACCCCAAATCTTTGAGGTCTTTGAAACCGTAACTGAACTTGTGACTCCCGCTGACAACGCCAACAATGCCCGACATTTCCTTACGAGACAGCGATCCGTGCTCCAGCAAAAGGTCAAAGAGGTTCTCTCCATACGATTTCTTATCCAATCTCTTCTTGAGGCGCGTCTGGTGCTCTTCGTTGGTCTTGGGCTGGTACCTCTGATCCTCTAAAAACTCCTTGTACTCATCTGTTGCGCCAAACTCCTTTCCTTGGTCAGTCAACTTGTGGGCGCCATAAATGGGGTTGGCTTCTGGTGCTTCGATGTGTCGCTGCTGAGCCAACGATCTCCACGCAGCCTGCCACGTTTTTGTACGTTCCATGAAGCCAAGGTCCTCTGAACATTCCTTGAAAGATACACTTTCGTTGCCTTTCATGAAGTGCCTGAGCAAGTTGCCGAGAAGAGCTTTCTCTTTCTCTTCGTTGGAGGATTTCTTCTCCTTTGGATTTGGGTTTTCGTCGGTTACCGACTCGTTTTTGCGCTTTTGTCCCTTTGCCATTGTTCCAATCAGTCTACCATAGACACACGAACACGTGATGAGATGGCAATGCAATGATGATCACTCGAGTTGTAACAACGGATGTAGCTGGCCGCACTTACCACACCACCAACGAAAGCCTTGCAAGACGCGACAAGTCTGCGTTTCAATCAACGGGTCTTTCGTTTTGTGAAGCTAACCATGCAGTGGTTGTGGTGGTTGCTTGCCTGCCCTGAAATGGGCAATCGCGGAGTGTTTTTGGTGCAACGCAAAAATCCCGTTTCCAAATCACAAGCACTGGCGCTTTTCGATTTTACGCCCGTGGCAGTGTGACATGCAACGGTCCTTTCCCTTGAGGCTTGACTCTTTTCGAGTCGAGTCCCTCCATGCGGTGAGCATCACAAAGCAGTCCAACGGAATGTCTGGTGCTTCACGGGTTTCAAGGAGGGATTGTGGCATCCTCACATGATTGCTCGATCAACGATCCCGTCATTCCTAGTGGTGCACACCTTCGCACCTGTGGCCAGTGCAATCAAACAAAAATTCGCCAACCCATCTTTTTCTCTGGGGTTGGTCTGTCAGAATTTTGCCTCAACACGGCGGCCAGTAGTTGAACATTTTTGCCAGCTAGAAATTGTACTGAGACCTACATGGTCACCCCAAAA